ATCCATTTGACATAGTAACTTCATATAGATCAATCATCCATAAATAATTCATAATTAGAGCTAGTTAAAATCTGTTAACCAATCTAATTACATCTTTCTCATTGAGTCCCATTGATTCTCTAATGAATTATATGATAAAATAAATTTATGAATACGAGCTCGTTACATATTAAAGTACTAAATAAAGACTCAAACGCATTATTCATCTGCTTCTTTCTTAAAAAGGAATGGATTCTATCTCGTAATATAAACATTCTCGGCTACATATTCCATCATGCCTCTAAGATACAATGGATATAATTTAATTATATCGAAACCTATATCGAGTAAGTCAAAAGACACGAATCCATAAATATGAGTCGATTAATAACTCAGGATTAAGATCATTCTATATATGACCATCTGTAGACTCAATTAGAAGTTCTATATTTAACGGATTATCAGAAATTCATATTGTGTCTTATTCCAGTCCTACGTAATCTCATTATGTAAAATACACTTATACGATATCTCTCCATATCAACGATGCGGATAAGCTCGTTCTATTCTTAATAGGAATGACGTGTATTAATAATGTTTTACTTAAAGATTCTAAACTTTAATTAAATTCATTACGAACTTATTGCGATCATCATCCTTAAATATTATCCTCTAGTATACAACATTTATATAACATATTTAAGGTCACATAAATAATCGAAAAATTTTCAATGATATTCAAAAAGTATATAACAATACATGCACATAAATAATGAAATTTTTACTTTATTAATAAATAATAAAATCTAAAATTACATCTCATCCTTTAAGGACATCATTCCCAATAATATGTAAATTGGAAGTCTGAAACTATCATTCTAAGTCTTTAGATTATGCATGTAATGTGAAGAACACACATAAGACATGAATCAAAAGAAGATAGTCTCTGTTGAGAATGGTGTCCTAAAAGCATGAAATGTAATATGATATTTATTATTTATTTAATAAAAGAGTTTATTCATTATTTTATGTGCATATATTATTGAATATTTTATGAATATCAGTGAAAATTCTATGATTATTTATGTGACCTTAAATATTGTATATAAGTGTTATATGCGATAGGATAATATTTAAGGATAATAATCAAAACGACATTCATAATGAATTTAACTAAAATTCAAAATCTTTAGTTAAAACATTACTAATACATGTCATTCTCATTTAGAATGGAATGGTGATATCCACACTGTTAATATGACGAGATATTGAATGAGTTTAACATATAATGAGATTATGTGGAACATGGACACAGACACAATATGAATTTTTGATAATTTTCGTTAAGTATAGAAATTTTAATTGAGTCTACTGACGGTCATATATAAAATGATCTTAATCTTGATTTTTTTAGCAGACTCCTATTTATGTTTTTGTGTCTTTTGATTTACTCGTTACGGATTCTGAGATCCTGAATCCTATTCCTTGTATGTTGGAGACATGATGAAGTGAGTAGCCGAGAATGTTATTATACGAGATAGAATCTATTCCTTCTTGAGAAAGAAGTAGATAAATAATTCTCTTGAGGGTTGATTCGGTACTTGGACCAATATGTGCGCTCTGATTCATGAATTTGTTTTATGAATCACTGTCCATTAGAGAATCAATAGTACTCAAGGATAAAGATGTAATTAGAGAGGTTAAAGGATTTCACCTAGCTCTAATTATGAATTATTTATGGAGGATTGATCTATATGCAATGACTATATCAAATGGACACTTTATAGTTTAGAAGTAATTTATGTCTATAATTACGAGAGTGCAATTCTAAGTTTATAGTGGAGTAACTATTGAAATTAATAGAATTAATTAATTAAAGAGTTTAATTAATTATTATTTTTATTGGAGCTCGGAATTATAGGTGCATAAGTTTCCGCGCCGTCCTTATAATTCCATAAGACAATAAGGGCAAAATGAGAATTTTAGAATTATGGAATTCTAAAATAAAATGCTTAAGGATAATGAATTGAGAATTAATTATAAATTAAATAATGTGATTATTTAAGTTTAAGTTTAAATTTAAATTTTGAAACACACATGTGAAGGTGTTCACATGGTATGAATGCATAACACAGTGTGAATCTCTTTGGGATTCAAATTGCTTGCCCTCCATAGTTATCCAATTAACTTATTTGATAAGTTGTCCAATTTGAAATTCAAATTGATTTAAGTTTGACTTAAATTAGAATTTGAATTTAAGTTAAAATTAGACTCTAGGATAAAATTTTGCCCTATTCTTTATCTGCAAAATTGCGCCTACCACAAGGAGGAATTCCCCTGTGGTGGCCGGCCATATAGGATAAGGGAGAGAGTGGATTTTGTTTCAAAATAACATTTGAAGTGAGAGATAATTAACAAGTTTTATCTTAGAGATAAAGATTAGACTCGTTCTGGGAGTCTGACTACTACTCTATAAAGTAAGAGATTGTAGAAAATTGTGAGACACAATTTTTGCTCTCTCCTAGCATTAGTGGCCGGTTTCTATAGAGTGTGGGAAGAAAAAATTTTCTCCAAAAATTTCACGCCGTGCATGTGTTAGTGTTCATGGAAACCTTGAGTGTTTATTCGCTAATCCCGTTTTGTTTCAGGTGTACCCACACACGCGTCTTTGTAGATTCAAGGAATTGATGAGAAAGATTTATGTGTTCTAAACTAGCTTGGAGCAAGGAACGTTCTAGGTCAAAGAATTCAAGATATCATCCTAATTGGTCGCTAGGTAAATAAATTAATTTGATTAATTTATTCGTGTATAAATTAATATAATTTATAGAGTATATCAAAGTTTTATGAAAATTTTTGTTATACACGATCCGCTAATCACACGCTTCCACATCCGAAATCATGTCAGAAACCAACAGTCTAAATATATGATCCACAATCGAGGTAATAAACTTGGGGGTTTTATTCATGTTAATATTTTTATAACATCTACTTCCTAACGGAGACGACTTGTCTTAGTCGTTGGAGTGTGCCTCTATGGATAGAGACATTGATATTGTTCTTAGTGGTGGAACCTATATTGAATTAGACAAAAGTTGAATTGTTTTAATTAATAATTCCGTTTGAATAAAACAATTCAATTTGAAAAATTATATATGGTCATCTTAATATTGAGAGGAATAATAAACCCGTATACTTGACTTGTATATTTTGATGTACCAAACGGTTATATTATGTAAAGGTACTCATACTAGTATGTTGGAGATATCACTCTTGTATGTGTAGATTTATTATTAATAAATAAGAAATCCATAGCTCCTATAAAGTGTTAATTATATCCTTGTATGACATTATCCATGGATTGCAAAATATGAGCACTTAGCCATTAGACTACTTTGTGTTGATGCATGTCCTTAAAGGGTTTTACATCATTATACTTTTGTGACATCAATTATGAGTATGATGTGGTGATTCTTCTTTTAAGTATTTAAATAATATATTTATGTGACATGATCATAATTGCATGTTTACCTAAATAAGAGGCCGAGGTAATAAAGACGAGTTAAGTGCGTACCACTCCACGAGGGAATAAAATTGATAATTAACTTGGCATTGGGTGTTATCGGACTAAATATTTAGGTCGCTTCCCCAGTACGCCATTGGTCGCACGCACTTGGTACGTGCATAAGGCCCAAAATCATAATCTGAATTATCATAATTGAGCATAAAAAGTCATGCATCTCTCTATGATGTTTGTGTGAAAAATGTTTTGTGATTGTACTTTCTGAACTTTAACTCACTAAGTTGCTCAAACTATAGGTATAACGGGTTAAATCCCGCATCTCAGATGTTTCAATGGATTGGCTAGCTGATGCAGGGGGATGGGGGCAAGGCTATTAAAAACCCCCACACGATATTTCCGCACTATGATTTATATTAAGTTTTGAAAACTTATAGTTTAAGTTATTTACTCAGGTTGTAAATGTCTCATTTAGAAATATGTATATGTTTTTAAAAGTTATTTCCGTAGGAAAATTAGAAAGTAACTTATTAATCAGGTAACTTCAAGCTTACTACTTATAATATTTATTTTCAAAATGATTAAAACTGTGAACTTTGTTAAATAACTGTCGACTTGTAAAATATTGATGTAATTGTTTTGGATTTACAAATACATGAAATTAACTTTTCAAGTTTTTGTCACTCGGCTAATTAAGTCACATATAAATAATAGTCTAGTTAGTACACTTTTATATTGTAAAAAAAAAAGTATGTTCTAACTTGATGTCTTCAGAAAATCCCTTTTTCCTAGTCAAGTCGAAGTCTAAGTTATTTCCCTAATAAGAAGTTTCTAAAGTTAAGATGAAAGAATATATGTTTTAAAAAAGTTCACTGAAATTTTAGTAATCAGGAATATGTTTATACTCAGGTAAAGCTTAAAGATGAGTTAAGTATGTCTAAGTAAGCTTAGTAGCGATCTGAAAAGTCGAATCGTTATACTATCGATTGTTGATTATATAATTTAGACTATCATCTTTAGATTCATGCCTTCCACATATTCTTCACATTATCTACACGATCTAAAGACTTATAGTGACAGTCTCCGACTTCCAATTTACTTATCTTACATGCAACTAATGTAAGTGTAAAGAGGACAGTGCTTGATATGTGAAAAAAAAAATTAAATCTTTAGTGATATTCAAAATCCTTAAATAACATTGTTACATTTATTATTAAATGGTATAAACACTATTACGAGGATTGTTCGTTGTCATAGAATTTAACTTGGTAACCTAATCGCTTCAACCAAATAATAAATAATTTGATCTGTAAATTAATATAATCTATAAAGTATGCTTCAAAACTTCTATGATTAACTTCTATTATACATGATCTGTACCAATACTCTATTTTATCTAAAATTGTTTTAAAAACCATCTTCTGCCACCACTTACAGCGGTTTTCGAGCCGGTAACTCAGTGGTTACCGGTCGGTGAGTCGATGCAATGTTGTGAGAACTAAAACGTAATTACTCAAATAAAAGTAGTGTGTATATATACGTACACATATACACACACACACACATATATATATATATTAAAAAGGAACACAGAAGAACAAGCCTTTTGTCTACCACGCATATAAACAAACATGAGACAAATTTCTTAACCATAATCTTTAGGCGCTGCCTAGTTCCGAACAATAAAAACTTAAATTCCTTTGCCGCACGCAAAAGGGCTTGTAGAGAGGGGGAGAGGGCAAAGAAGTTGAGGGGTGTTTGTCTAAACATGCATTTATGATCCTAAGAAAGTGTCGACTCTGTCATTAGTCGCCCTTGATAGAAACTTCATGCAAATTGGCGGCTTAACCCCTGCAAGTGCAAGTATTGAAGCAGGCAAAGTCCATATCCCATCGCCACAAATCAAACCGGAAGCAACCGCAGGCACAAAAGCATCTGCCTTAGCCTTGTTTACTTTTGTCCACACGAACAAGATCAAGCTTCCAACACACATATCAATAGCAAAGTAGGATCCTATGTAGAAAGGTATTGCCATCGCCATTGGAATTGGAATGAATCTTGCCCATTTCTTGTTTATGCAATCCTTAACCAGGTTAATCAGAAAGGCTGCACCAAAGAATATGTAACAAAGAGTGAGGCAATAACGCGGCAAAGAAGAGAACCCTTCTACTCCAAGTATGGCCATGTTTCGGTAAACAACAGCATATGGAGCGGGATATTGACTTTCGGGCTGCCCGAGGTCAGTAAAGGCCTTGTAAAAGAGCCAGAAGACAGAAGGAGATATAATGCAGCCCATCGCGGTCCCAATAACTTGGCTCACAAACATGGAACGTGGTGAAGCCAACGTTAGGTAGCCGGTCTTGAAATCTTGAGTGAGGTCAGAGGCTGTTGAGACTATATTCATCATGACTCCGCACGCAGCTAGGCCAGCAAGAACCCCACCGTGCGAGGAACCAGCCCATGCTCCAATTGTAAAGATAGCAAGCTTTCCATAGGTAGAAGCCAGGGACCAATCCGTAAGCCCGCATCCATATGCATTGCAGAAAGCCAAGGTAGGAGCAAAGATGTAAATCACCAATATGTAGTACCATTTGAGTTGGTGGAATATATGTGGAAGAGTAGCAATGGATATTGCAGCTACCACAACGTAGCCTGCAACAGCAAACCATGTAGGAATCTGGTCTTTCAGAAACAATTCTGTCCGCCGTTGGTCATCAAAAGAAAGCTCTGGTTTTGTAGGCGCGGAATTGTCTGCAACTGGGAGAACGTCTCTTTCGCGAACCTGGCTATACATACCAGAAAGCGTTATACCTAGCACCTTGATGAAGTTGTATAATCCGTCACCCAGGATCATAGCAATTGCAATGAATACCTATTAGAAGGTTTTGCAATAAGTTATTTATAAAAAAGCAAAATACATAATGAAAGCTTTAAAAATTATGGGGTTGCATATGTAGTCCATTATTTCGGTGGAAATTTTACTTTGTACCCTTGAAGGCCATGCATACTGCTTGAGCTAAGGCTTGCAGAAAACCAATCACCCTTTTGATTCTCTATGAGAGGCCACATGACACCCCAAGAAAGGATTCCTCCAAGCAGCACCGATATGTTCACAATGTAAGGGCAAATCATACCAACTCCAACATATGTGGCAGAGAAATCAAAGTAAAACCTGCGCATTAACACATGGTCCAAACAGAGCGAATGGAATGTAAATGAACAATTAAAACCTGCATATCGTTTACAATGTTTAACTCTTTAATAATTAATGCATCAGAATGCATAATAAAAATGAAAATGAAAACACAGCTATAGAAATTCTCTCCTAAAAGTAACGTTCTAAAACACGGAAATCAGTCGACGAAATAAGTACTTGTGCTTAAATGCTTTGAGCCCCAGTGAAGGGAAGCTTCCAAACCCGCAATCATCTCCCGCAGTATAAAACCATTGAAAGAAACCCCACAGGAAACTGAAGGAGAAGAACTTTCCCAACACTCTTACTTGTTTCCTGCAAATGCAGAACAGAAAAATGAACAGTTAGCAAGCTCTATAAGAATCAAAATATTGTACTGTTTTAAATAAGGCAGATCCATTTACATGCAAAAGAAAAACTGAACTACGACTTTTTTTATTGAACCTTCTTTATCTGCAAGGAACATTCATAAAATTGCTCTGTTCTGGAAGGAATAAATGATTATAGTCACTTACTTTGCTAGCTTGGCTCCTTCAGGAGTGTGAAAGCTGTTGATAAGATGAGCAGTTGCAGTTCCACTTGGATAGGTCAATTTGAAGTCAATGATCATGATCTAAAGCCAACAGAAACAACATATGTTAGAATAATACTAATAAACATCAATTGTGTTCAACACCGGAAGAGCGAGACCCATGGCAAACGGATCCACAGGTGGAGCACACTCTAGAATAGTTGTGGAGCTCAGTGCCAATGGTGTCCCAAAGCACTTTTGGGGCAGTAAAGTGGTTAGCAAAGTTTACCTTCCGGAGAGGCACCACCGAGAAGAGACCAAGAAAGCTAACAACAAAAAGAAAGCCAATTATCCATGCCAATGATGGATTCTTGAAATCACTGGTGTCTGAAGAGTCCTTTGCAATGCGTTTACTCATTCCAAAGAGGTAACTACCAAATCCTCCTGATTTGATCAATGAAAACAAATTTTAGCACAGCAATAACTCTATGACTAATCATTTTTGTGTGCTGGTTTGGAATAATAGTCTTTTGAAATTACTGAAAGTGGATAAATCCATTTCTGCAACATCCATGCTTCAACCAATGTAATCTGATCTTACGAAGAGTAATTAATATTAAACTACGTGTGTGTGTGTGTGTGTGTCACAAAAATTTTGGTAAGGGCCTGAAAGAAACTGAAATTTTGACATTTTAGTGTCCATCACAAGAAGACAGGTAATTCATCTTTGATCAAGAGAAACTGCCATTTAATTCAAATTAACGAATAATAAGTTTTGAGCAAATTTGAAATTTTCGGTGGTGATTGACCTGACACCAAATTCAATTACTCAAATGAGAAAACTAATTATTTTGGAAGGGAAACTAAAATAAAAATTACTAAAATTAAACTAAATAGACTAAAATAAAATAAAATAAATCTAAAATGAAAAGTATTCATTAAAATTTAAAATAAAGTCAAATAATATAAAATAAGTTAAAATCTAAAAAACTAGCCACTTTAAATGTACAAAAATAGTGAAATAATTCTATTTTTAATAGAGTTATCAGTTATCATGCCAAAGGAACACTGAAAATTCATTACATGGCCTAGTCCTTACATATAGATTCAGAGAGTGAAGATTTTTTTTTTTCGCCTCCTAAATAATGTTGATAGAACAGCTAACTACCCGCTTCCATTACTCTACCTATTTCATTCAAGTATCTATTGTGTGGACGTTGGTGAAGAATCTAATAATAGGGTATACATACATACATAAATACATAAATCTATGTATGTTTGTGTGTGTCATGTGTTGTTCTATTTATTACACAGAATTCAAGCAAGCCTGGAAAGCTATTTTCAATAAAAGTTAAAACTGCTCGTCAACTAATAATTTTATATTTGTTTATTTTCTAAGTGTAAAAGGTGCTTGGAAAGTTAATTTGTGCATCTGTCAACTTCGGTTTCACCTAAAATGTGGGGCATATGTGCTTAACTCACATGCTTCATCCCTTGAAACAGCTGCCAAAACAGAAATTTCTGGTACATCTTTAATAAACCAATTAAGAGAAAATGATAATCTTGCTTTACAATAATGTTCTAGAATATATTCATAAGCTCAAAAAAAAAAAAAAAAAAAAAAAAAAAAAAAAAAAAAAAAATGAAAAAATAAAAGAGGGGAAGAGGATAAGTGATGAGCATGCAATAATAAATTGTCTCGAAGTCAACACCAGTCCCAATCATGCTAAAGCGATCAACATAAAACTTTTATTGCGTGCCCACTACAACTATGGCCCTAGCGCCCAAGTAATAATAACATTTGATGGCTTCTATATTATCTCTGAATTTGATAAGCTCAAGCTGTTTCTTTTTTTTTCTTTTTTTTTTTTTTTTTTGATAAAGCTCATGCTGTTTGTTCACGTTACTTTTGGCTTGTAATTAGTTAGCTTATTTATATATAAAAAAGGATATTATTTTATATATAATCATGAAAAGATACGTTAATGATGGTACACAACTTTTAACGACGGAATTTCATCAAATTTTTTAAATAGTTTATTTTATTTAATATGATAAGATTTTTATTTGATTCCTATAAGATATTCACCAAAGAATTTTCAGCTTCTGGTCTAAAAAATTCCATAACATTCTATTGTAATATTATTTAGTAGAATTTTGTATACGTGTTAGAAAATTTAAATTAAAAAGTGAATTTATATAAAAAAAATATTATTATAAAAAATTAAATTTAAATTTATGAGAGAGTAAATGATGTAATAAAAAAAGATAAAAAATGTTTTGAATGTGTGACTCTATAAGAACGGTAGTCAACGATAACCAACATACATGATAAATAAATATCTAAATCTATGGCTCGTAAACCATTATTTTATTGTTATGCTGAATTTTAATTGTTTCCGGACATATAACAAACAAACATGAAACCCAAAATCTAAAGGCCATAGGAATTGAAAAAATCAAAGAAGTGAGAACCATCGACAATATAAATAACAAATTTTGATTCACGAAAAGTTTCTGTAGTCCATCCAACCATAAAGAGGATGAGAAATGAAAACGAAAAAGAAAATAAAGGGGGAAAAAAAAAAGAATTCCATTCATACAAAAGACGAGCAATGGTATTTTTACGAAGAATATTAATGATTCTACAACGAAATCATGCTTTTTAGTCACAATTCATAAAAATCCAGAAAAGATTCTTCAATTTAATCGCTTCAAAACATAATAAAAACAGTTGTTGATACAAAATCAAGAAACCACAGCGGTGAATCGTCATAATAAAAATAATACTCAGAACCAATATGTTGATTTCAAAAGAACTTCACAACACGTTCCAATTAGGGCTGTTCATAAACCCGAACAACCCGCCAACCCAACCCACCCCGCTCCAATCCAAGCCGAAAAAAGCAACCTGCATCATTATTTTTAAATTTGCGGCTTATTATACCTCTGGCCCGAAGTGTTTGGGGCGGATTGCGGGTTGGGCCCATAACAACCCGCAATCCCCAACCCAACCCGCACAACATCCCCCCAAGCTTTCGGCCCAAGCCGAACTGCCTAAGTTCTACCCTAGGCTCGCTAACATTAGGGTTCACAATCTTATTCTCGGTCTTCCCTCCCGTGAACCCCCTCTTCTTGCCTCTTCCTTTTCAGTTTTCCCTCTTCTTCCCCTCCCATGAACCCCCTCATAACTCTCTCCTCATTGCTCAGTCCTCTCGGCCGCCGTCTTGCCCACTTTCTCCGGCGCTCTCTCGCCGGACTGATAAGGATGGTTGTTATTTCTATTTAATGATGAAGTTTGAATATTATATTGAACTTTAAGTCTTTGATTTTTTGAATGTTGAAACCGACCACCCAACCCACCCCGCACCGCCCCAACCCAACCCGAACATTGTTGGGTTGTGAAATTTTTCTAACATCGTTGGGGCCAAATATGTGCAACCCGCACCCTTTGGGGCGGGGAAAAAAAAGTCCTACCTCGCACCAACCTAACCCATGAACAGCCCTAGCTCCAACGGAAAAAAAAAAAAAGAAAAAAAAAAGAGAGAGAACAAAGAGGAGAGTTCACAGATACAACAATTGAGAATAATAAAACCAAAAAAAAAAATCAATTATTTCCAATCCATAATCTTTTCATTAATAAAACAAAAAAAAAAGTCACTTATTTCCAATCCATAATATTTTCATTCACCAGTTAATAGATCCATAAACAACAGAACATATAAAAGCATTGAAATCCAAACAAATTAAAAAAAAAAAAAAAAAAGGAAAGAAAAGAGAGAGAGACAGAGAGAGGAGAAAAATACAAATAATAATAATAATAATAATAATAATTGAATAATTACCACTGAAAGCAATGCCAGAGGAAGCGACGACACACGTCTGAATGACGGTGTTCTCCTGCCTGGTGAATGGCTGTTTTAGAATTCCAGACTTCTCCAGAAATTTCGTCCAAACCTTGACGAAGAAGAACCCCAAAAGCCCGGCGGAGACGTTGAGGGAAGGGATAATCCCAGTTGTGAGATTGAGCTTCATGACTATGAAGGTGAAGAGAATGCTCAGAACAAAGCTCACCACAAACGCCCGCACAGTTAGCTGATTCCGCCATGACGGAACCTCTTGGCTCGCAAAGATCCTCTCCACCGACAGAGATTCACCTTCTTCCCTCTTCATCTTCTGGTTCGGATCGTCGTCGATGTTGTTTTCCCGGTCATTTCCATTGTTGTTGGCGTCGTTTCGATCACCCATAATTTTCTCGAAAAATTTAGTAGGAAGATGAATGAATGGGAGATTTGGGAATCCCCCGGGAATGGAATCTTGGGGATGTGAATCTTCTTCGGGAGTTTGGTTATGATTTTATGGCAGAAATAAGACAACTGGTTTGGAAAATTGGTGTGCTTTTCATTATATATGTATGATGTACGATGTAAGATCTGTTACGTGGTACCAATGGAATCTTTGTGGAAAGCAAAATAAAAATTAAAGAAAAAAGGTGAAAATGCTCTTTTTATCATTGAAAAAAAAAACACTTTTTTTTTTAACAATTTAAAAATGCTTTTGGGTAGCACCGGGCACCACAACTAATATGGAATAAGTTGTACATATGGAACCCACCAAACATTGTTTTAAAATAAAATCTGTGACGGTTTACGGATAAACAATAGGCTTTAAAACACACATATATATATATATATTGAAAATTTTGGATGATCATTTTAAAATCATACTAAACGAAAAATAATACAAATTCAATAAAATTGGATATTAATGATTTAGAACTACGCATTATAGAGAGAAATATGTATGATTTAAATTAGCAAAAAATAAAAATAATATAGGTGGCCTTCTTCTTTAACCTACCAAAAAAGTATTTTTATTATTTTTTTCTTATCTGTTGTTTTTGCTACGAAAGGGGAAGATTTCAAGGCGACAGGCGAGGCTTAAGAAGGGTAAATTCCAAATTGGGGTATGTCCTTGCTGTCAGGTAAGCTCATGGGTGTATTTTCGCATTCAATCGTCAACGTGATCACATCGACATCGCTTGAGCGTTACATTTTCTATGAGCGTAAATGGTGGGGTCTTGTTTGGTAAGTGAGATTTTTTTCTGACTCTGTAAAGTGGGAAAACAATCCAAAAGCTAGAATTCTATTCGTGCTGCCGAATACGAGGAAGGAAAAGCCATAACAAGTTGACTCGAGATTAATTGTGTAATTCAATCACCTTCCGCCCATGGTATCTAGGGGTTATTTTTTTGTATTTTTTAGTTAGGGTAATTTGAATAATGATCTTTAGTTGAGTCTGAGTTATAATTTGAGTTGAAGTTATAACTTGAGTTTGTATTTGGATGTTTACATTTGAGTTATGATTTAAATTGAGAATCTTTTTAAGTTTGTGTTTGGGTGAGTCAAAACTTAAATTTATATTTAGATAGTATTTTAATAAAAACTCAATAGTAATGAAAAATTTTAATAAGGTATATGGGTGAAGTTTTATTCATCTTTTCGTTGTGAATACATAGAAAAAAAAATCATCTCAATCAGAATAAAATAAAAAAGTTATGACATTTTTAAGAATAAAAAAGATATTGTTCATTAACTTGAGTTCGATTTTATGAACTCGAGTTGAAAGATAAACTTGAACTCGAATTTAGCCCCAAACTCGAGTTTAAACTCGAGTTCAAACTCAAATTTTACAAAAGAATATGAACTTGAATAAAATTATAACTCGAGTTTAAACTTTTTTTAAATTTTGTTGCAAAAAAACAATCCCTAATTTCTCGTTTCACACTTTGTGAGTTGTGATATTTTGGTCGGAACAAAATTAAGGGGAGGGAGAAGTGAGTGGATTTGGAGAAGAATATTGACGCCAATAATTGTTTGGGAATTAGAATAGGAGCTTTTAAACTCGTCAGAAAAACCCCAAATCACTTTTTTCTTTTTTTGACGAAACTCTAATTTTATTATTTGGAGAGAGTAAATGAGTAGATTCATACCAAGCATAATAAGAAAAAATATATTCTTATTTCTTTTTATTTAAGGGAGCTTTTGAAAAAAAAATAATAATTAATTAATTAAGAAATGACATATTTAAAAGAAATATTTCAACACAAATAAATTCAGGAAAAAAGTATTTCGAAAAAAAACATGTTGTAAAAAAGTTAAAGTTAAAATGCTTAGCAATACAGAGTATTTGAGAAAAAAAAAAGCAAAAATAAAAAGAAAGGAGTAAAATTTAAAAAGAAAAAAGAAAAAAAAAAGAGGTTAAATAAAAATTAAGAAAAAATATAAAAGAAAAAAAATAAAGGAGGAGGAGAGAAGGAATTGTCATATGGCAACGTCAGAGAAAATGATCTTTGACTGTTTTTATTATGTATAGATATATAGATATAGATTTTTTTTCTTTTTTATTTTTATTTTATTGCTCAGATGTATAGATGTAGATATAGGGCCCGTTCACTTCATGTATCCCACTCGAATAAGTCCAACTCGAGTTGAATTTTGGGTTGAGTTTTGCATTCATCAAACAAAACTCGAGTGTAAAACTCGAGTAATAACTCTGATTTCAGAATTTGACATACCGGTTGTTTTCCCATTACTGCAGTATGCTTCTACAGTGTTTCCATGTGCTTGAACAGTGCAGATTCTTCTGCTTTCTTCTCATTGCTGCCTCGTTCCTGCCTCCCCAGTGCAGATTTCTCTCTGCTTTCTGCCCGCTGGACCCTCGTTCCTGCCTTCCTCCTCTAATTTCACTCTGAACAAAGTGATTTCCTGCAGATTTTGGAGTGAAAAACGATTCTCTCCAGGTGGGGTCGATTGCTCGAATCGGTTGCTTTTTGTGTCGATCCGCATCGAAAAAAGGTAACCTCTCCCCTATTTCCACCATTTTTGCTTCGATTCCTTATTGCATGCCCAACCCTAGAAGTGTTCCCCGCCCCTGTCCTTGAATCTTCATCACGGATACCATTCATCCGCCTCGAGGCAACCGGCAAACTCCGTTGGCCATTTTATTGCGTCGATGTAGAGCCAAACGGCCCCATCTCGCATCCACTGGTTATCTTCCTTTGTGACGTTACCGTCGGTGGTTCCGGTGTCAATCCGTCGTATGAAGTGCCTCACGATCGCGTTTGGGGGTTGTGATAAACGATAAGCCTTTGTCCTCAACTGGTTCCAACCGGGTATGATCTTTCATTTATACTAAGCTCTATATACCATTATTGTCTCTGGATTTGTCGTGGTTGCACTGTACTTCTTCTTCGTTTTGACTGGTTTGATGCGTGGCTATTGGTTGTCGTTCGCATTGTGATGTTTGTACTGAGTAATACTAGTTGTCGTTTGTATTGTCATGCCAATGTCTACTGATACCGCTGTTGTCGTATGCAGACACAATGTTATCTAATTTGTTGTCATTTTTGCCTCCACTGTTGTCGTTTGTACGTGTTTCTATTGCATCCCCTGTTGCCGTATGTAGTCGCCTGTTGTCATTTATACCTTACCTAGCTGCCTACCCGTGTTGTCGTATTGGCTCTCATGTTACCGTTATTGCATCCCCTGTTGTTGTATTGGCTAACTTGTTGCCGTTTTTACCTGAGCCTATTGCATCCCCTGTTGTTATATTGGCTCCCCTATTGCCGTTTTTACCTTAGCTTATGGCCCCTCCTATTGTGGTATGGTTCTGCTGTTGCCATTTTTTCCTTAGCCTATGGCCTATCCTATTGTTGTTATGGTTTCTGCTCTTGCCGTTTTTACCTTACCTTATGGCCTTTCCTATTGTGGTATTGGCTCTGCTGTTGCCGTTTTTACCTTACCTTGTGGCCTCTCATATTGTGGTATGGTTCCGCTATTGCCGTTTTTACCTTAGCCTATGGCCTATCCTATTGTTGTTATGGTTTCTGTTGTTGCCGTTTTTACCTTACCTTATGGCCTCTCCTATTGTGGTATTGGCTCTGCTGTTGCCGTTTTTTACCTTAGCCTATAGCATCCACTGTGGATGTATTGCCTCTCCTGTTGGTGTATTGCCTCCCCCTGCTCGTATCGCACATGACCACTTTACAAACAGGTAATGTTGGCTATGATGAAATTAGTCCAAAATTAGAACACTTGTTGTAGTGATGTCCTATAGGCAATGTGACACTTTAGTTACCGCTTCATTGGAATGTATTGAGGGCCTATGAAGCATGGCAGCTACGTCGCTCCTGCTTATAAGGATGATGCTCCGAGTGTTGTTGCAATTAATTAGCTATAAAATTTCTGAGCCAGTTATAACATTCCCTCACTTGTAACGTGTAAAAACCAGGTAATAGGAATGGTTAATGGCAGTGATGTTCCGAAAGAGGAGTTAAGCCATTTATAACAATGTCTCGTTTTTAGGTTGATACAAATATTTGACTCACGCGTACGGACGTTCCTCTTGTGCGTTGTTACGCTGCTTTCTTTGCTATTTTAGATGCCGAGAGGGAAAGCCGACGATGAAGCCACTCTACACTGGACTGAAAAGTAGAAAGAGGAGTTGCTTATGCGGCTCGCTAAATACAATCGTACTGGCAACGGCCGGAAGCCTGATTCGAAAACATGGGAGGATTGGACGCAACAACTTCAACAGTTCTTTAAGGATCAAGTCACTCCTGCGAAAGTTCAGCAGATGAAAGTTCGTCTCAAGGCCAAGTTTGACCATGAGCTTACATTACGCAACAACACAGGCCTTGGCTGAGACCCTGTTATTGGTGCTGTGACTTGCACTGATGAATATTGGGAAGATTTTGCCAAGGTAAAATGTCTAAACAATTGTTATATGCGTATTCAATTCTTGCAACATTTTGTGAAGGTCTTTTTGTTTGCTTATTCATATGCAGAACAAGAAATGGGCAAAGAATCAGCCTCTTAAAAACTGGGAGTTGTACTATGAGGCCTTTGCTGGTACGAGGGCAACTGGGGCACTTGAGAAGGGATTGGATAATCCAACAAACATTGAGGAGGGTCCAGTACACGTCTCCGACGAAGAAGGGGCGACATCTGATGAGGGTGGCAGCGAGGATGGCTTCATCGCATCCATGCGGGCCGGTTTGAACAATGCAACTAGAGGTCTCAACATTGCGTCGTCCTCCAAAGTGATCGGCAAGAAACCAGGCAAGTCCTCACGTAAGGTAATATGTGATCCTATAGCAAGGGATTTAATTGGCCGGCTTGTTTCTTCTATAGAAAGCAAGCATAGTAGTCGCACTAAAAGCTCTAGTACGAATCAGGCTGCGCCTATTGTTGATCTGCAAGACCAATGCCAGAGCATAGTCAATGAAATGGCGCTTGACGATGAAACCACAATCATGTTTTTGGAGGCCATTGCTTGGTACCCACATATGCAAAAGCTGTTTGTGGGAATGAGTGGTAGTCAGCGTAACCTCTTCGTGACAAGAACAATCAATACGTCACGGACTCAAGCACATGGACCTTTCTCAAACCCCCATGCCTCGACGGGGACACAGTTTATGCCGCCACCATTTCACAACTTCATGTCACAACCCACCAACTATATGCAAC